GCTTTATTAAATTTTAGAGGAATTTTTAGAATAACATAGCATAGCTTCTTTGTAAAAGCACCAGAATGGTCGCTTTACATATAGTAAGTAAAAAATATGCATTACAAAATGTCTCTACAAAAAGAGTAGCTTTGAAAAGAAATAAAGAATAAGCAAAACCAAAAAGTTAAACTTTCAATTCGTTGAACTTGTGTTTCCAAAATAAAGCTGTAGTTTATAAGCTCGTTCTAATTTAAAGCACGGCAAGTGCTTTGGTTGTTGTCACTAATTAAATAAAAATAAGTGACAATAAAACCTGGAACTTGAGCATTGAAAGTTTGTGCAGCTGGCTTCTTGTGGATAAACACGATTAGTCATCGCTTTTAATTTGACAGGCACGAGTTCTAAGCCTGGCACTTGCAGTCCAAACAAAATTATATACGAACTATAAACTAATTAAATAAAAATTCGATTATTTCAAAGACCACTGATGAAGAGTACTTGGCAATACTCGAAACAGCGGCGTTGTATGGTCAGCCGAACTTCAATAAAATTAAAAATAAATTTTTGTGTTTGTACTTTATTTCTTTCTTTGCTATTTGAAAATTCCAATAAAATATTTTCTTATATCAAAAATTTGATAATTTCAAAACCTACTTTGTCGTGAACGGGATAAACAGGTATCCTATGTCCTTCTCCTGGCCTTAAACTACCTCCCTGCCAATTTTCAGCTAAATCGGTTCAGCCGTTCTTGAGTTATAAGTGGTGTAACAAAAACACATCTTTCTTTTATATATATAGATATATATAATATAAATATATAATTTTACCAGGTTATGGTATTGCCACACCAAAAGGTTCGCTTTGGAGAGATAAAATATCCTTGGCTATACTAGAACTACAGGAAAAAGGTGATATTCAAATGTTGTACAATAAATGGTGGAAGAACACTGATGAAACATGTTATCGTAAAAGTAACAGTAAGCAATTCAAAGCAAATGCTTTAGGTCTAGATAATATAGGTAATATTTTATTTAAGTAAGACACGAAATCTATGTTTTGTATTTTGAATTTAAAATATAGGTGGTGTTTTTGTTGTCCTCATACTGGGTATATTGATAGCTGTGTGTGTTGCATTTTACGAATTTTGGCAATACTATCACTTACAAGATAAATCAATTGAGATGGACTCGCAACTTTTTGGAGATAAAGGTCATCAAGCTATATACATGACAGTAGAGCAACGCCATAGAAGATCTATATGGGTAGAATTAAAAGACGAGCTTAAATACTCAGTGCGATTTATGGAATCTAGACAAAGGCCGGCATTAAGACGTCAATGTCCAAATTGTTACACAATTTAGAATTTATGTGATAAATTATTAAAAACTTATTCTTAGAAGATTTAAATTTTGTTGTAAGCTCAATATAATTTTGTAAGTATGTTTATATATAAGTATTGTCATAAAATTAAAAAATTAAATTATTTGTTTTTTTTTTTGAAAAATATAGATGACGTCCATAACTTAATATGTAGAACAACATAATTTCAAAACCATATAGGTAGTTTACGTGAATCGACTAAGACAGATATATTTTTGGCTATTTTCTGTTTAGAAGATGGGTTATTAATTATAAATGAGCTTTTGCCATTATTAAAAGATATAGAATTGCTATAGCTATTTACGGACCTATTCTGTGCACTTTATAAACTTGTCAAACATTGACACTTGTCAAAATTGACTGCTGTAAAGGTTTTGGTATTCTGTGACATAAATAAAAAGCTCTTTTCCTTGTTAGTTGTCAATATTACAAATGCTGTTGACAACTATAAAAATATGCTCTTTTTAAGCATTTTTTATTTTTTGCGTGCATGACAAATATTCTTTACTAAAATATACGCTCTTTACAAGCATATTTTTTATTGTTATTTGAATGCATGAAAAATGCTTTTGACAACTTAAAATATGTGCTCTTTACAAGCATTTTTTACGAACAGTTACGAACATTTACGAATAGTTTTCTATACAAAACACTTTACACCATAGTGTGGTGAGAATCATTATGTACTTGAGCTTTGAAATTTGTCAAGATGTGTCCAGAATACCAAAAAGCTTTCTGCTTTATAAAAATCAAAAATTTTATTAAAGAATTTGACAAATCTGTCAGGTGCACATAATAGGTCCGTTAGTGCATTTAGCTTTAACAAACTATTTTATTAAAAATAATTTTACAGTTCTTAACTGTGAATTTGATTTTTTGTCCGTATCTTAAAAGTTTACGTACCAGTACTACTGGTACTAGGTACCAGTACTAGGCGTATAAGACCTAAATGTAGTGTAGCAAAATTTATCTAGCTGAAGTACTTTATACTCCGAAAATTGTGAGTATAAATGAAATATCATTCTGGTGTAAAAAGCTGTATGTAAATTACATAGGTATGTAAATTAACAGCTATGAAAATGTTAATATTAGTAAATACGCCGGTTCTTAATTTGTTGAGCTCATGTTGTGTATGCTTTGCTTTGTTGATATGCAGCTGTATACCCAATGCCAAAAAATAATCAAATCATGGTACGATGCACCAACCACAGCATCGAATTGTTGGTCGCTCAGACGTGATGTCAATATTGCTGTCGAAAATCAATCTGCAAATATCGGCTTAAGGGCAAATAGAGGCAACACGAAGTAGATATCGGCTATAGTCAAAAATGTATGGGCAATGGGATGTTGGCTGGTAAATAACTTTCAGAATTGTCCTTCTTGATAACGCCATCATTAGCAAACCTTTCTCATGATCGATATAACTTTCGTTTTCTAGGTCAATAATTATATCAATAGTTTTATATGATGTCGAGCATAAATGTTATTACAGAAAAATGAGATCAGAACGTTTTTTATAAAAGCTTTAGGCTTTTACAAATTGGATACGACTACTGCATCGTAAAGTGCTAAGCAAATAACATTCAATATCTTCATTAACCTGAAAAGCACAAGGATGTAACATCACGCTCTATCGA